TTCATTCATTCATTCATTCATTCATTCATTCATTCATTCATTCATTCATTCATTCACTGGATAGATGAGAAACCTTATAAATTTGGTAACTAGCTAACTAAATAAATAAGCAAGCTTTTCTAGAAGCTTTACATTTTATTTGTTCATAGAACAAATTATTCCCAAGTTCTCACTCATAGGAGAAATGACCATGCTCAAATTACCATATTTGGACACACGAGAAAACATAACTCTTTTGAGAAGTCATCAGCATCAAGGTGAATGGACTCAATTACAGGAGGGATGGATACACTGTTGGAAGACCTGAAGTACTAGATCAGGGACAGATTATTCTGGAAACAATCTATGTGATTGCTAAGAACTGATACTGACTTGATGACACATAATCAATCAATCATGTTTCATTTGTAGGTTAAATATTTACACTATTATTTATGTGCAAGAAAGAAAATAAATTTATTGTTGTAACCATAGGTCATAACCTTGTAATATAGCATAAGATATAATAAAGCAAAATAACAATAACATTTTTAAAACAGTAAAAAGAGTACAAGATATAAGAAGATTGGATCAAATGAGGACTACAGGTAAGAATCTAATTTTTTGAAAAAAGTTTAAATGTCAACAAAGCAAAAATAGCAACCTGACTACTAACAGTTGGAAACACATCTGGAAGAAGACAATTCAATTATCTGATCTGAGCCCTTAAGTTCACTCACCATCAATAGTTTGGCCATCATAAATGGGGGACTAAAGGACATAATGAATAATGTCCTCCATTTGACCACATCCCAGGGACAATTATTTATGTGCAAGGAATACAAATAGGATTCAACTGTCCTGGTGAATGCAATAAAAAAACCTGAAACTTCTCTTGCCCAATCATTTTGCAACATAATATCCAAAAACTGCTTTTAAGGCACCTACTTGAGGTCTTGAGAAGGTTCAGCTCTGATATGGGGGGTTTCCACAGAATGCTCAAATACAGCTCCTTCTGTGCCTACAACAAATACATGAATAGAATACAGGATAATTACATTCCACATCAACGTTTCATTTGAAAAGTAATGAAACCCCATCTCCAAAAAAAGCTTAATTAATATTAATAAGGTGAATTAATATTTATGAGCTTTATTTCAATGAAACTTCTTGTAGAAGAATTTTAAGACAGTACAACATATGAGAAAGTTTTGATTGGCTTCACTAAAAGTAACAGCCTTGATCCATATGCCTGTAAATAGATAAAATTAATGGGCCATTGGTTCATTGGTCCTTTCCACAGAAGCAGGAGGCCCTTGCTCAGGTATTTACTTTCTCCAGGAGTTTTGTGAACAGTCCTTTCTGTTCATGGAGCTATATGCCTAGAAAGTATACATCTGTTGAAAAAAAAAATGACTGAATTATCTCCATAATGGGTACATAATATTTATTTTTTTTATTTTTTTTTTATTTTTTATCTGCACTCAATCGTGACCGATTCTGCAGCAAAACTGTCCCTGCAGTTTTCACGGCAAGGTATTTCGGAAGTGGTTTGCCACTGCCTCCTTCCTAGAGCGGAGCCCAGCTGGCGAGTGCAGGAGGCAGGGTTTCCGTTGCTTCACACCTTTTTTCGGGCGTGCGTGGCTTTTGCATTACCAGCAACTGGTCCCGTCTCCCGTGAAAGGTGCCGCTAGTGTTTTTCCTCCCACCAGGATCAGAGTACCCATTTATCTACTCGCAGATGCTTTCGAACTGCTGGGTTGGCAGAAGCTAGGGATGAGACAGGAGCTCACTCTGCCACATGGAGCTGGGCTTGAACCGCTGAAGTGTCGACCATTTCTGGCCAGCAACTTTCAGCATCATT